AGTATTATTTGTAACGCTGTTGCTTTCAATTATAATAAATAACAATCACGTGAATTAAAAAAAAAAACACATATTTTTAATTTAATTAATAATCATGATTTCTTTCACACTAAATTATTGATTGAATCTAAAGTATTAATATATTTTTATTCAAATATAAGAAACTTTTTTGTTAGATAAAATAAGAAAGTTTTTTTGGCATACTAGCAATAAAATTAATTTTGGGGCAGGTTTTTGTTATATTAGTGAGAATATTATGAGCTTTGTGCGTTTTTACGAGTGGTGCTATGTATTCAAGACGACTAGATTCTCAATAAACTCGGTCCAGGAAGTTCTTCAGCTCAAGTATTGTGGAGTCGTACTGTATTCCGGAGAACAAGGTTCAATAAATTGTGTTTCTACAACACTTGATGCACTTCTAACGTGCCCTGGAAGGGTTTTAAATTTTTGGGAATCAGAGCTTCTTTTGTAAAAACTCCATGTTCACTTACATTCATAATCAAAACATTTTCAACGTTCTGTTTTACACTCTGTATAAACTGTTCAAATATGCTGACGTCTTGACCAAACATAACAAGGTTGTTTGCGGTCCGTTTTAACACACCTCCAATTCCATCCTGGAGCCCCTTTCCCATGTCCAGTTTCACTGTAATTCCAGGTTATTGACTTTAGCTGTGGTAAATCCTTATAAAGAACTGAAATAATGTGAAAGATGTATTTATTGCGGTACTGGGAACTTGTGGAATCTGACTGGAAATGGACGGTATCTATAAATGGATTTATTTCTAAAGCAAGTTTAACCATCGGTATTAGGTGCGCCCAGATGGCTCAACGTCATGTCTCAAGCACTGGCTAATTGTGCATTCACAGATAGTCCCAATGATACAAAAATAAAAAATCAAAATCAAAATTATTTATTCAGTCTAGGCTGTTACAAGCACTTGTGAAAGACGAGAGCTACGCCATCGGTTCGTAAATCTACGGCGGGACACCTTGTACTGAGAAGAACCGGCAAGAAACTCGGAGATACTGTGATGGAAGTCGTAGATGTAAATTACACTAGTGCGCAAACAAATCTCTTTACGACTTAGTCCAAAATGAAGACTTTGCACTTCTTTTCCGTATTTAAGCCCAAAATTTTATGAAAAATCTACATGTATATATGCTTCTGTTACAATTTTTTTTTCTTATGTTTTGCAGTGATTGATTGATTGATTAATACTTTATTGCAATAAAAACAAACACATTAAACAAAAAGCAATAAACATATATGCAAAAGGCGGCCTTATTGCTAGGGTAGCAATTTCAACCAGGCGACCTTTGGCTAACAAAAACCATACCAACCAAGAACAAATATAGCGGGTTAATGCATTAAATTAATAAATATTCTTAACGAGAAAAAGAGAGGCAAAAAGTACAGAATAACGGAGAGACAAATTACTAGCATAAAAAAAGATCCAGCTTGAGCGAAATAGTCCTTAACTTGATTTACGAACGAGTCTCGAGACTGCGCACATCTAATAACCATCGGCAAAGAATTCCACAATATAATGGTTTTGACGAAAAATGACCTGGCTACAAAATGAATCGAGTGGGATGGGATAACTAAGGAAAGGTTGTGGGAAGACCGTAGATCTCGGATAGAATTAGTGGAGGAAAAGATAAAGCGCTCTTTAAGATAAAGAGGAGTACGTGGATAATGAGAATGGATTAAAGAAGTGATAGGAAGTGACAGTCTCTTCTACGAGAAATAGGTAGCCAATGAAGTTGAGAACGGTAGTTGGAGATATGATCGTATTTGCGTAGACCGAAAATAAAACGAATACATAAGTTCTGGAGACACTCAAGTTTATTTAGGAAGACGACACTTAGGTCGGAGTAACAAGCATCAGCATAATCAAGCAGTGGCCGAAGAAGGGATTGTGCATTAGAGATTTTAGTCTTTGTCGGCAAAAGGTTTTTAAGGCGCTTCGGCGGGCCGTACGCGCCAAACACCCTCCTGCTCACCTCACAAATATGAGGACCCCAAGATAAATTACAGTCAAACAGAACACCAAGGTTTTTAACAGTGTTCTGTAATGGTATATAAACATCATTCAACAATATCGGTGCAGCGTTCCATTATTTAACCTAGTTTGATACCAATAACTTCCAATGATAATTGCCAGTGTTTTGTGAGGATTGACTAACAAGCCGTGCCATCGACTCCAATCTGAGATATGTTTCAAATCATTATTAATGGTAGTAATTGCATAGCTTAAAGGAACTCCGTATTATGAAATAAATTTATTGTGTAATTGTTCTAATGGTAATATTAACTGTCTTTTTTGCTTTTGAATTTTATTACGAGTGATGTACTGCTTTTTGCCGGGTTTAATTTTGCTATTTGAATCTTGCTCAAAAAACTTCTTAATAAGTATAATTAATTTTCGCCTTAATCGCCATACTTGATCTGTTCGCAAGCTCTTTACTTTTTTATCCTGTTTGTCTATTTTTTTAAAAGTACTTTAAAATACGCCCTGACATTTTTCTTCTTTTTCAGGCTTTCATTTTCCTTTTTTAATTCATGTATGATATTCATTATGTCTTTTTGTTCTCTGTATCTTATACGTCTTATTTTGGTTGCACTTGAATGTAAAGGATCTTCCATGGCTGTAGAAACTTCTGTCATCTATTTGAGTGATATATTTTCTTGATTTTGATTTTCAATAAGAACTATTTCCGGCAGCTTAGATTCATTTATTTTACGTTTTTTGTTTTCTCTGTACCTCTTTAACACTTCTCGCCTATTTTTTCCTTGCTCTCTTTGATCTCTTGGCGATTTTTCATCAATAGGGATGACTTGAGCCCTTTCTTTTTTTTTATATATCGTCTTCGTTCTTTATATTTTTCTCTGCCATATATATCTGGATCATTTTTAAGTTCTGTGTATTGTTTAAGCTTATAGACTAATAAATTAGGAGCCGATGTTTTTTTACTCAGTCATCAAACCTAAAACAATATTATTTCTTTATAGCAAAAGATACGTCGAAAGATATAAAGTCGTCTTGACTTTATTGATTTAAACCACTGTTAATCTAGAACACTGACAAGTGAAAGAATTGTTACAAATTTAAACGATTTGAAAGTAAACAACAAATAAAGATTAAAAGTCATTACCAGTAATCACAAATCATTTCCGTCGATATCATTTTACTGGAGATGATCTTACTGGAAATGATTTTGATCCATTTCAAATCTGATGTGTTCAAAATTATGTTAGCGTAATAGCTTCAAACGAGACACGTAATCATTCGACATCTTTGAAAAAGTAATGGGTAAAATGTATTTGTTACTTACAGTGTAATTCGTCCCTCTAGAAATGATGTGTATGCGTGATAATAGTGCGTAGAACCTAAGTTTTTTTTATCTTTTGTTTGTTGACACGTCCGCTTAATGAACGTCTTCTTGGTTAACTGTAGGAGGCGCGGGCACGGGCCTAAGTGTACATTGTGCCAAAGCGTAATAACAATTCGCTGTTTGACGTGTTTTTACGGAAACGGTGAAAACACCGTAACTATTTTTAAATATTTTATTTTATAATGAATTTGATAGTTTTATTTAATAAGCTTCAGCACAAATACAATTTTGATTTATAATTATTATAAAGTAATTGTCTAAGACGCACTATTGTAATGCTTTTTGGTATTATTTAAATATTTAATCAGTAATGTATGATTTGTCGTCAGGTAGGAAATGACGTTAGGTGTGTGTTTTGTTAAATTTTTGCAAATAACTTATATTAGCTGGTAAAATAAAGGTGGCGCCTTTAATTATAATATAAAAGTACATATTTGAACGTAATTTAAGTGAGTGAGACTTATAAATATCGTCACAGTGATGAAAAACTATTTTTTTGAGCATTTAGTTTATTTACCCAAATACTGTAAAAATACATAACTTATGATAAAGAGCTTGTAAGTTGTTCTTCTTGTCAGCTAAAAGACGTCCTGAACAAGTGGTAGGGGAAAATTTTTTTGGACCATTCAAGAGAGCTTGAAATAAGCTTACTTGAATAAAGATATTTTCATTTCATTTCATTTCATTTCAGTTGTTTATTGAGATTTAAAAAAAATTATAGATGAAAGAAAGCCGTAAGGGTTGTCATGGAGAAATCAAGAAAGTACAATAGTGACATCTAGTTTGATCTCGGGTACTATTTTTTTTAAATACTTCCTCGTTGATATTAAATTTTAGGTAATAATTCCATTAGATGTATAAATGTATGACAATCATATTCGTTTAATTTAATCGATGATTTTAGGAAGTATTTAAAAAAACGAAAGCACAAAAAAAGCACCTCCACTAGATGGCGACTCTTGCAAAAGTTGATTTTTGTAAGAAACGAATGGACCAAAGACAGTTATTTCCGTTCCTTTTAAGTAACATATAAAAAACTGAAATTTGAAAAGTCCGAAACTTAGATAGCAATACAAATACGAAAAGTACAAATAGAGTATGACTTGTTTATTGAGTTTTGAAAACTAATTTACTTTTAAACACGAAAGAAAACGAGAAGGGTTGTGTTGGAGAAATCAAGAACGTACCATAGCGACATCTAGTTTGATTTCGGGAAGTAATGTTTTTTTTTAAATACTTCCTCATTACATAGACCGTCGTCAAATGTGGCCTATTATAATGATCCAATTGTATATATTCTACCATAATTTCTACTTTTATTCATTCTCTTTTATTTTATGTAATGAAGAATGTAAATCTCATTCATAGTTTCGTTCCTGTTGACCTCGTTTTTCGGTATGCATTTAAAGTTATAAGGAAATACAAAAATAGTAAATTTCTGATTCTTCTTTTTTAACGTAGCTGTACAACTTGTATCCTCTTGCGTTAATTAAAAGTAACAACAAGAATTTTTTTGTAGGTTGGCTTCCCTGCTTACTTACGTGTATAAACGTATGTTTTTATAGTGTTATATACATAGACACCATTTGTAAGTTTTTGAATGTGTGGGGGTTTTTGTCTGTGTGAGCGTGAATCTTTCATCGTTGTGTGCTGCTGTGAAGATGCTTGCATGTGTTTGTGATTAATGGCGATTTGTGAACAGTGTCTGAATTGTGTACGCTAAGGTTTTTTTGCAAAATTAGTAAGAGAAATTAAAAACTTCGATACAAGGGTTAAATAAATCATTGAAATGCGTTCGGTTGTAGAAATAGGTGCAAGTGTCCCAGCATTTCTTGGGAAGTTATGGAAATTGGTAAATGATCCCGAGACCAATAATTTGATATCATGGAGCGCTGTAAGTATTTTATTCCGTATTGCAATAAATATATAATTTGATAATTGTTATTTTAAGATTTTATGAACATTTTATCATATATAAATATGAAATTATTAGCGACAACCTACAAATTGTATCCAATAGACGGATCTTCATATGGAATCTATTGATAAATACATAAATATCATCACGTTTTATTCCATGCGCTCTGGTTCAAAGGAATTTATAGTTGATAGGCATGTAGTCATTTAAGTAAACGAGGACAAGTACAGGTTTATACCTATTTAACAATTCATCAAGAACAAAGTTTTGTCAGAATGTGGTCACTTTCACATTGATTTATAGTTTCTATGATAACTTTGTTATTGTATAATACTTATTTCTGTCTATTGATTAAATTATGAATAATAATTGTGGGTCTTACCTTCTTGCAGTTTACTTTTTGTTTTTGCTTAAACTGAATGAAAATAATCATTTTCTTGTATTTTTTCATAACATCATACTATTTTGTCAAAATAAAATAATTTAATTTGATCATATTTACTTAGGTTAAATTTGCCTGATTCCAAATAAATGAGGCAAATTGGATGTAATAAAATTGAAATTACAAATTCACTCTTTTTTTTGTTTATAGACAGTGATAAGTGTTTTATTCATATTATAAGAAATGAGTGAGTTGTAAATAAATGGATGTGCCTCTCAATCTCTACTGCTCTTCTGAGTTTACAAAAAAAGATGAAATTATTGATATGTCATAATACTAATAGGGGTAATACTAATGTGTAGTAGGGGTTACTTAATAGCAATCTTATAAGGAATTTGTAAAATCATAGAATTATTTTGTGACTAACAATTTTATATATTTTAATTGTAGTCTATGATAAGTAATTATATTGGAATGTAATTTTTATTTCATTTATAACCCATAGGTATAACATAATTATTCATAGGCTGTGAATAGATGGGATGGAATCGAATCAGAAAGGGCAAAAGTGACTTGGTTCGCACTAGTGGGGCCCAGTGAGGATTGTTGGGTGTTAACAACTGCAGATGAAGTAGATACCGATAGCCCATGTGCCATCCGAAGCATGGAGTTGATCGAATTTATGTTCACCCATCCTATGTCTGGCCTTTGCCAATGTTGCTTAACTTGATTTTAACCATGCAGCGTTAAGGGGTGCCTTGTGTTAGACATTTGTATCATCCTGTGGGGTTAGATCTGGAGCTGTCCTGGTAGAATCCCAGATCCTTTCACCCCCTAGTGAGGTTTATTAAAAAAAAATGCATTTGCATCATGTGATAAATTGTATCTGTGTCGAGGGATAAAAGATATGCCTGCTTCTAGAATAGTGTTATAATTTTATTTGTAAAGGAATCAAAATTTGCTAGAAAATTTGTTGAAAATGTTAATTGGTGTCAAGCATCATATATTTTAGTGTGCAGTTTGTTTTTTATATACTTCCTCATTAAATGATTGAATATACTTTATTGCACTGATAACAAACACAGGAACTGAGAACAGACTTATTTATTGAGCTATATATCTCTAATTTTCGTTAGAGTATTAATAAAACACTGGCATTTGAATTTAAGAAACATGTGTCTCAGAGGTCAGTTCCTTCCTTAAATTATAAACTTTGTGGTATTGTTGAGTAGATCAATGAATTAACAATTTTAATAATAAAAAAATACAAAATTAACTTTAAATTAAGTTCAAGTTAAAAGGTAAGCAACAAACGTTAAGTGATTTAAATATAGTCCCAGTTGCCAAATTTCAAAATGCTAAGTCTTTGGTGAACTGCATCGTAAAATAGAATTATTGTCTTTTGTTTTGAAAATTTAAAACAATGAATAAAACTATTGATTGTTGCCTATAGCCTCGAGGATATCGCGGCGTGTAATAAATCATACCAGCTATCTTTATCAAATGGTGGTTCTGATTCTGAGCGACAGAAAAATATAAGGCGATAGTAATATTTGGTTTTTACACCTATTGCAGTTTTTTCTGAAATATGGTTTTTTAACATATAACTACATACATACTTATTTCTATATTTTTTTTATTTCATCAATAGTTGCATCTTTGCCATAATAGTGCTAGCTTATTGGTAGCTTGAAAATTCTTCATAGATATTTCATAAAGTTTCCTGGGTATTGAATTTTTATCCCAGACAAAGTACAGACGTCGCTCCCGTGACAGACTCTCGTTATCCAATGGTTTATTTCTCATTTTGAATACTTTTCGTAGCAACTGATTCACTAGTTCACTTTGCTCTCCGCATATTTTGCATTCAGTCTACTTCTTAACAGGAGTCAATTTTAAATTTTGACGCGTCTGTATGAAATGAAACAGAGAGAAAAAAGCTCTTGCTGAGTTTCGTGACGGTTCTTCTTTGTACAAGGTCTCCTGCCGTACATATACGAACCGATGCCTTTTGAGTTTCGACTTTCACAAGTACTTGTGACTAACTTAGACTGTGACTATGACAAATGATTTTGAATTGATTGGTAGGCAATATAGGTTATCATCAGCAGCCATTTTACGTCCCCACTGCAGGCCTGCAGGGGCTTGGGGCCTTCCTTATGGATGGTTAAGGAGGATGGGCCATCACTCTCCACACTGGCCCAATGTGGATTGGAGGGTGTTAACGCTCTTCAAAAGCAAGGCAAGGCTTCAAATGCAGCTGGGACCAACTACTTAACGTGCCTTCTGAAGTACTGAGTAACCCGAGATAATAATTTTTGGTCACCCATCTCGTGACAGACCCTCGCGAAAGTTGCTTAACAACTACGATTACACCCTGGCGTTTATCCACTACGCCACCAAGCTACTCTTATAGGTTATGTGTATAAATTGCAAAAAAAATAATTTAGCAATATTCGAATAGAATCGATTATTACTAACTTATCTAGTAATTTTTGATGTAATTTGTAATTTTGCGCTACGGGGCATATTTTTTTTTTCAATTAAAATTTAGCATCGTAATACCACACAGATGCACTCTTTTTAACCATTCTTAATTCGACTGTTATTTTTCTGTTTTTGACGATTCTTTCTTTATTTGAAAGCTAGTGCTTGCCGTGTGGTCCCATTTTAATTTGGTCATCTGGCAATGGCATCTATGAGAAAACCATATAAGTCTTAAATTTGCATTAAGTATGCGCGATGTTTGTAACCCCAAAACTCAAAATATCATTAAAATGCATGAAATAAATACTTTAAACCGACTTCAAATTTAACAAAGTGAATAATAATTCTTATCTGAAAAGCTGTTAAATTTTTTAAGAAACATTGAAGGGCGGTTAATATTTAAAAAACATCAGCTTGAATTTAATGTTTCGTAAAAAATGTAATCGCTTTTAGATAAGTATTATTTTTCACTTAAAATAAAAGTTAAAATATGAAGTCGTACCATTTTTTAAAAAAAAAAATCTGATATCTCGAGATAACAACCATGCACACAAATTTCCCTAATGCCTTATTAGCAGAGGTCGGAATTAGGTAGAGTTATTTATGTACTTGCATCGAAATGTTGATATTAATGTGGACCTTCCCGGGATTTCTTTATTTCTTCTTTCTTTATTTCTTTCTTTCATTGATGTAAGTTTGGCAACGTCGTGCGTGTAGTAGTTTAAATTGTGTAAAAGTATCTAAATAACTTTTTATTTAAAAAATCACGGGATAATTCTGCTCTTTAAAATTAATCTCGGGTTTTGAGGCATATCCACTTTATTCTTTCGCTGTATGAAATCAGTGTAAGTACATGAATAACTCTACCTAATTCCGACCACTGCTTATTAGTGTGATATAAGTTTTTATTTTTTAGGGTGATGTGCTTCAAAGAGGAACCCTTATAGGATCACTTTGTTGTCCGTCTGTCTGTCTGACAAGACCCTTTATTTCGGAAAGGCGTGGAAATTAAAACTATGTACCAACTCGGGTCTACAGTGCCTTGAAACAGTGAAAAAATTAAGCTTCTAAATTAATATGAAAAAAGATATGGCAATTAACCACCATTTACACCGCAAAAACAGATATTTCGACACTCTCGAGGGAACTAAAATTGATATTGTACATCCCATATACCTAGAACTATGAAATTTCGCAAGTAGCATCGTTTTATATTACAAAAAAAAAGGAGGAAAAATGTGAAGACTACGTTTGTAATCAAATCATTTATAGAATAAATTCTTAAGATGGCTCGACATTTCAAATTGTTATTTCTTCAAGTGAAATGTCATATGAAAGGGCTTGAAGTGCATGTTTCAAAACATATTTTGTTATTATACATGATGTATAAATTATAAATATAATGAAAAATAAAAATAACTTAAAGAAAAAGTAGAACCGACTTCAAACTTTAAAAAAAGTGAAAAATAAGTATATATCTCAAAACGACTTATTCAAGAAAATGCTCTTAAAATCGGGCGGAAGGTTTCTGTAGGTTGTATATTAATAATATTTCATAATAATTAAATGATAGGTATCCGACATTTTCTAGAAGAAGTCGCTTTTGAGATATATATAATGTTTCACTTTTTTAAGTTTGCAGTCGATTTTGTTCTTTTTTTAGTTTTTATTTCATGCTGTTTAGTGATATTGTTATTTTTATGTAATATGTAACACTAAAAATATTTTTCTGAAAAACGTGTTAGAGTGCGACCCTTAGTTTTTTAGTCGGTTAATATACCTAAAACCTTCTCTAACAAAATACTATGCTGAAACCACATCAAAATTGGTTCAGCCAAACTGAAATACAGCTCAAACTGAGAATTTCCTTTTTTTTTTTGAAGTCGCTTAAAAATACTGTTTACTACTTGACCCTGACTATTTTAAGTATAGCTATAATTTCATTTTTATAAAGCAGTAGTGTAGGTTACATGTTTTCGCCCGTGAAAAACAGTTTTTTTTTCCAGATTTTAGACCACTACGCCAATTAAAACGTTCCTTTACCGATTAACACCAGAGCGTTCAGTGCTCCGATGTTGGTCCATAAAAGAATCTTAATACTACATAAATCAATAAATAAAAGAACGGTCTAGGTGTAAATCCATCCATTGCTTCTCCAACTATTCAATACATAAAATATGTTTTTGTGAACGGGTTATATAAGGGCATTGCACGCAATTGATCTATCCTGTTTTCCCAAGATATGTCTGGCTGGCTTTTTTTTATAGTATTCTGGGGTCTAGAACTATGTTAGAGGTATGTTACAGGTCCTAGAACGCTGCTTAAAAACTATCTTCTGGATAGTTCGAAGATAGTTTTTAAGCAGCGTTCTAGGTTTTGGCAGGGCCCGATCTATCTTTTTAACGGCTAAAGAGAAAATTTGAGCCTAAGACTGAGTTGTGCCGTTCTGGGCACTTGCCCAACGAAAATAATGATAATCCAAAACTAACTTTAAAATTCCCACAAAGTAACAAGTAATTTTACAAACAATCAAGAAATTTCTACGGAAATCAGACGTGATATGTCAGTTTTAACTGAAAGAATAAATTTATTAACTACTAATATTATTATTATTTTGTTTTAGGGAAACAAAACGTTTGTAATAAAAAATCAAGCTGAGTTTGCACGGGAACTTTTACCCCTTTATTATAAACACAACAATATGGCTAGTTTTATACGCCAATTGAATATGTATGGGTTTCACAAAATTACTTCTGTTGAAAATGGTGGACTTCGTTATGAAAAAGATGAAATAGAATTTTCTCATCCCTGTTTCATGAGAGGACATGCTTATCTTTTGGAACATATTAAGAGAAAAATAGCAAACCCCAAGTCAATTGTTACTAGTAATGAGAGCGGTGATAAAATTCTTATTAAGCCCGAGTTAATGAATAAAGTATTAGCGGATGTTAAACAAATGAAGGGTAAACAAGAAAGTCTCGATGCGAAATTCAGTGCTATGAAACAAGAGAATGAAGCATTATGGCGAGAAGTAGCAATCTTAAGACAGAAACATATCAAACAGCAACAGATTGTAAACAATGTAAGCGTGAAGTTTGCGGTGGAAATGAAATGAAAATACAAAATAGATAAGACAAAAATTATTGCATTGTTGTCTTGTTTATTTTGTATGTTTATAAGCTAAATACAATTATTTATTTTTTTCTAGCTTATTCAATTCTTGATGTCCTTAGTCCAACCAACTAGAGCACCGAGCGGTGGAGGTAACAATGTTGGTGTTAAAAGGCCGTACCAACTCATGATTAACAATGCCGCTCATAATTCTACGACAGATGTATCTGAATCTAGTAAATCAAAGAATTTTAAATTTGACAAGGAAACTATATCAGAAGATTTAAACGAAGAACATTTGGTGCGTAATCCTATAAAATTAAGAGTAACCTTTCAATACTGTATAATATTATCGATTTAATGCGAGATAATTATTGCAGGATGGACCCACCATTCATGAGTTAGCACATGATGATATTTTACATAATGAGACATCACAAGATTCTTTGGATCCTTCTAGTTTCGTAACGGTAGAAGTACCTATGGATCCTTCGAATTTTATAACAATAGAGGTGCCTCATAGAGCATCCAATCTTAGTCCTTCTGATCCTACAGCGGCTTTGCAATATCAAGTTACAATGGAAGACGGTGAAGAAACTGATGCTGGTATGTCCTTTATTTTGTATATGACTTAGTTTTGAAACTATGTAACAACACCATGATTTCATTTATTAATTGTAGATGGACAAAAATCAATGCAGTTCTATCCTATTTGTCGGACTACTGGAAATACATTACAAAAACCTGAAACTCCACCGATTTCTGTATCTCCAACAATACCTACTAATACTGTTGAAGAAGTAGTAAACAACTTAATGGCATCTCCTGGAACATCTAAATCTAAAAGTCGTATTAATGGCAACAAAACTTCTACGCTAAACAATAAAATTTTATTAAACACTACTAACTTTAATGATATGAATCCGTCTGCTGATTTAAAACTACCTGCTGATATATTTGCGAGCGACGATTCAGTGAGTGACGCTGGTGTAGCTGTAAATGAGGACTTCAATATACAGAATGTGTTGCAAGATCCACTTATACCTACAGAGCTTCGTGATCCTGTCACTAAAGATAAAATGCTTGGTGGTATTAATATTAAATTAGATAAACCAGTGGTCCCAAATAAGACTACTTCAAAGAAATCTAAAAAAGTTATCAAAGATGATAATGTCGATTTAAATTTAGCTGACATTAAAACAGAACTTCAGGATGATTTGGATTGGAATAATATGTCTTTGGCAACAGTGAATAATTCTAATGTAAATAGGTTTCAGACCAGGTAAGATATCTGCTATTAACTATTTTTTAAACTAATACTACTATTACTCATATACTTTTATTCAATATTAATATGTTCAACTTGACCATATGATAGGGTAATAAAAATGACATTAGATAGATATCGTTAGGTGTTTTAGCAGATTATGTTTATTTTATTTTTATGTAATTAAATAATTTTAATATTCAGGAATAGAAGAGATAACGTCGCCAAAAGTCGAGAAGAATTTGCTTCTCTATTTGGAACAAATCCAAACAAGTATGTGATATAAATGATACTTATGAAATGCCAGGTTTCTAGAGATGAACTATTATAAATATTTATTGAAATAATGATGTTTTATGATTATGAAACTTTCTTCGATAAGTATCTATATTAGATCTTACTGCTTAGTAATTTTCTGAAAATACAATATGACAATTCTTATTCATAATCATTTTCATTTCAAAAAATCATTCTGTTTAGACAATAATAAACATTCATAACGCCAAAATATAATTTATTAATAATTAAGTCTAAAGACAAAAATATTAATGCTTCATATAACAAAGTGGATACAGAATCTCAAATTTGCTGAACTAATATAATTTAAGATTCGTTTTTTGGTAAAAGCTGTTTAGTAATAACAATATGATGCATTATTTTATCAGATCCTATTATGCTTTTATGCTAATGTGATAACACATCCTCAATGTGCCTCTTTACTTACAAAAAAAAATTTTCAGGAATGACATTGATGACCACTTGGAAACTATGCAGACTGATCTCGATTCTCTCAGGGAGCTCTTACGAACAGATTCATACTCTCTTGACACCAATACTTTAATGGGGGTAAGTGTTATTTTAAATAGATTCCCGATGTCATCTTATTTTCATCATAATATCGTAGTTTTTATCAAGTTTTTTTTATCTATATGAGTTTTTCATATTTTATCAGTATTAAGGTCTTGCTGTAGATTAATGAACCGATGAAGGCGGTTTTATAAATCGTAAATATCTTTGCTGTCTTCGAGAAAAAGGGGGCATAAATATCGGTGAAGTGCAAGTAGCCAATCGCCTATTAAGGCTCCCTTAATATTCGTTGGGAAATGTTGTACTAGATTGCACAAGAGATAGGAATATTTTGACGTATTTTTCTTTTTTATTTAATAAAAAATACGATTGCACAATCTTTATGATGTTGGAATCATTAGTTTCGCATTGCGCCGCCGGCTGTCCGATAGTGACAGTAGACGTACTGTGATTCACGCACACTAGCGCGCGCTATTAGTAAACAATGACGTTTCACTCCGCTCGGTTGGCAGCGCCTCCGTCTGGGTCACGTTGCAGGCAACGTGTTTGGACCGCGTGTACTGCCTTGTGTAGTCAAAGCAATTCCTTACTCACACAGACGCACAATGACCGGGCTTCGGTCTTTCTCTGTAACAAACATATTTATTCAAACTTTCATGATTACCTAATCTGTGACGTAGATTGTTTGCTACCTGCGAATGTCATCAAAGGGATTGTTGATATAATTACTTTTCCTTCACAATATTATTTGCAAATTTCTAAATGACCAGTTTTGTAATAGCTTATGAACGGTTAACACAATTACGTAAAGCAAAATAACTTTATTGCCTTGAATAATTAAATCTTGAAATATTCTATAAATGAAATAGTTTATTTTATAAAGTACTTGTATACAAATTTTAGTATAATCAGTTACATAATACTACTATAACTTAATCTATGGTATTTTATTGTGATCTAATCTGAAAAAAGATCAGCATCTGAAGTAGTCGATAATAATGTATGTTATTATGAAAATTTCTAATTTAGATGAACGAATCAAACATGGCATCACAACACTTTCAGCCTCGGAGCCTACAAGTACGTTTTTATGTAGGAAATCAATAAGTCAATGAGTGAATCAAAATGAATATTGGGGTCATTCAATGAAATGCATATTAAAATAAAAGCTGACTTGTTGGTTGACTGGTTTAATCTTTATAGAAATATGCGGAATGTATTTCTCAGATTCATCTTATTGATGTGATGTAAAATGTTATTTGTAGAGTATCCTGTTAAGGTTTTATCTTATTATTCACTGTCTCTTGAACAGATACTAAAACTGAATAGGTTTTTAGCAAATGATAAACAATTATCGTAGTTGCATGTTTTTTCGTCAGAGATATACTCTCTGTATGTTAGGTAACCATTTTATACGCTTTAGATTCTTGGGTAAATAACAGTATTATTCTTAATACTTGTTGAAAAGATTATGAATAATAATTTAAGACCTTAAACGGAATGTAATGGAAAATGCATTTATTTTCGCTCAGTGGGTTATTTTATTCTATGATTACCTACTGATTGATAAACTTTTTAACACTGTTTTTTTTCTAGCTATTTGGATCTGAAGATCCATTCTATGGTCTCTCTTACAATACTATTGATGACAGAACGAAACCGACAAATGGAGGTGAGCTAAATGAAATATATATTTTTTATTTTAAAATTACTTATGTTTATTTTACACCAGATAACCCAATCATTCATAGTAAAATATGTATTGTACAGCTCAAAAAAAAGTGTTCAAGAGATCTATATTGTCTTCATGATATTACAAATTATTAGAAATAACTGATAGTCTAAATTGAGTGGTTGCTTCCTTTTAATTTTGTCTCTCTGGTCTTGACTGGATAAGAAAAAAAAAACCAATTAAAATTTGTTAAAGTTGTAATACTCATATTAAAATTACTTCTCTTTTTGTATGGTTACACAAAAACCGCTATGGCTTACGGTAAATATATCAATCAATTAATGGATTTTACCTTAAAATTTGTTTGTTTTTATACTTATCATTTTAATCAATCCTTTTTTATAATACATTAAAATGTAATAATATATAAATTATGTAATAATAATTAATTGTTTATACAAATATAGCCACTCTAAAGAGATCTCGCTTTTCGCACAGCATCCTTTGCTTTCATTTAAAGGTGATTGATTAGATTAAGGTATCTTAATTTTATGCGCTACTCATGTTTTTAAAGAGTTATTACTTTAATTTTTATAAATTGTACATCTAGGTAGAGGCGTATGTATTAAAAAATAAAGGTAACACGTCCTCTCTGCGATATTTCACAAAAGTTGGTATCCTGTCGACGTCAGACATTAACAACAGCATAATTCATATTCACGGTTTAGTATTTAATTACTTATTGTCTTCAATAATTTCTCGAGTTTTATTTCAAGTTTATGTTAATTGTAGATACAACCAAACAGTATCCGATGATTGATTTTGATTGGCTGATCGGTAGCGGTGAGGCATCACCTGCGAATTAGCCTCTCACTACCGCTTCTCGTCATTCAAGAATTTTGCAAGATTTTTAGTTGCGAGATATCAATAGACGTATTGGATATTTTTGGTAAAGGGTTAATATTATTGTGGTGGTTGCAGTTAGTGGTGTCGCGGCAAACTCGGAAGGTTTATTACGATTGTGACAGTGACAATGCTCTCATAATATTAATTATGTGCTTTAATCGGCATATCTGTGGTTTTTATGTTGGAATTAATTATTTTGGTTGTATAGTTTTATTTTACGGATATATTATAATTTTTGCGGTGTCCTCACCAATATAGATGGCTAGTGTTACGCGGAAATAATATATAAATTTATGTTAACCATAATAATTATGCTTTTAAAAAGCATTTACATGTATTATCATTTTCAGGTATCTATTTTAGTCACCTGCAACTTTATATTGGCAAAATGTAATCTTGATTGACTATTACATTTATTAATCCTTCTGGATAGCAAATTATAAAATTCTACATATGCCATTATTTCATAAAGAATACAATTGCACAAATATTAGTGTAACTGTATAACTTTCTTATTTTTTTTAATTAGGCGAGTCGTAGTTGTAAGTTGCAGGTAATTAAATTGACCTCTTAATAATACGGTAATATAATTAAGGAATAAGTTTAACTGCTGTTGTGGCATTGTTTATAGTATATGATTAATTTTAAAATGTATTTAAATTTAAAATGTATTTTGTTATTAATTAAAGCAAAGAAGCAAAAAGGTGAGATTGCGAATGTAAGCGGCTACGACGACCGTCAGGATATCCAGTGTACGGACGAAGATGGTACTAATATTGCATTGTACGGTTGAACAGTAGTTAGGTTTGCTTATGTTAGATAAACAGTACATATTTCACATGTCGCTATTCAACAACTTATTATGGAGGACATAATATGTCTGCACCAAAACGATTGTAAAGAAATAAATGTTCAGATGCCTATTATAACGAACACTAGTACTAGCACCAAAAGATAGTTTTATTTTTAATGACAATTTAAACCAGAAATTCTGTGGTCGTTACGCTGTTACTATGCGTCTATAATATTTTCATAATCTTGAAAAATGACATTTTTTTATTTTGTTCGCATGGTGCACTAAAGCGTGGTAACATTTTAAAACTTTAATGCCGTCAAATACTTTCTATTATAACTAGTCGGAACCGATACGGTTCTATGAGTAACGATATGTATCGTGAACTTTCAACGCTCACATAATGCTTTGGTTCATTTGGGTCGTTTTCGCTGCCTTAGTTCAGACTATAGTTGCTGCTTGGACGTCATATCCACTCATTTGACCAGTGATTATATTTTCTTTCCCTATACACTCACAATTGTTTTGGCGAAGCCGTGCATGTATTTTTTTTTGCATTTTGGGTCTAGCTATTATTTAATATACTAAGATTAATATACATAATGAAATAACTTATGAACCTCATTGAACGGAAGTAATAAGTAATTTTATATTTTTAAAGGTTTAAGAACGATTACACGAGTTCAAGGCACTTCAAAAGTTATTTTATAAAATGAGTAGTGTAGGAGGTAATGTAAGATATAATTATAATATATAATTACAAATAATGTTAGATCTAGCGTGTAAATGAGTCCGGGACCAATATTATACAATGGTCGAACTTTAAGCTTTTATGTTATTATGTATACTTTGTTGCATTATTTACTATTGTTTATTTAAATATTAGTTTTACTTTTTACGTTATTATCACACTATTTTTACTAATTCCTATGGTGAAAGTCAAAATATTGTCAATAATGAGTATTTCTGGTGGTACATTGTATTTTGCATAATACCTTCTGATTTGTGTTTCGAACATGTGGTTCATCTTAATTTTTATTCAATATTATGTGTATTAACCAAAATAATGCTTTTATTTTGGAATATGATGGTGTCAATTTTGTTTTTAATCAGATATAAGTATTACCGGCATAAATTATGGTAATATGGCGTAATATGATCAGACAAAACCAATAATAGAATACCGCTTTTTAGTTAGTAGTAGAACTACGACGATTATAATAGCATGGTTTGATATTTTGATTATTTTGTTATCAACTCGTCGATGCGTCGTCAGTGAAATTTTTATATGTTTAAATTCTAACTCGATTTTTTCTTGGGTGACTTTCAGTTGAAGGGAATCAGCTAATATCGTATACAGGGAATATTCCAGACTTTGAGTTAATATCTATGCCTGAGTTGGAGCAAGACGATTCTCAAGAAGCGTGTCCGTCACCGTTAAGTTCCACCCTCAACACGCCTCAGGTTGAAGTCAATTCACCTATGCGCACACCGAGGCCATGAGACAAGAAGAAAAAAACATATCATCGAAAGAAGCGATCCTACAATAGTAGAGTGAAGCCGTAAACAAATAAAAGGACATCTAAATTTTTCCTTTTAAGTGGGTGAAACAATTTCGGCAATACTGCTCATTAGAAAGTAATAGAAATTTTATAAATTATTGTCTGTATAAAATAATGACTGTTATTTGTATAGCTATCATAGTTCTGAGAATTTGGTTAATGATATATTTTTATATATATTAGGTTTCTACAAGGTGATAGCAATGTTTTTATGACATTGTGCGATGTTAATTTGGCTTAATGCAAAACTAAACAAAGATTTCAACTAATTGTATTTTTATTTAAATGATGTATTGTTATATTCATTTGGAATTTTTGGTTATTTTTAACGTCACAGTTTCATTATTTTTAACTGTCAACGAAAGCGTTAGTATTCTTTAAAATGTTTTTCTTAAGCAATTAAAAGATACATATTTATACATATTCGCATACTTATTTTATTATATTGATATGTTGTATGCTTAAAGCGCAGTATTTTTTAATTATACTTAATATTTATTTCATTAGTTTTCATAATATCTTTATCGGATAAGTTAAAAAGTTCGATTTTATTTAACTAGTTAGCAAATAAAGGCAAGTATCTAAAAAAATAAATCCATGGTAATTCATTAATAACATTGCGCTGTAATACGTAGTTAATTGGTTAAAAGTTGACAATTTACAAATCTAGCGCCATCTGTGGACAGTGAAAGAAAATTGATGAATCCGTGACGATCCGGGTGAATAAAAAATATATGGTTTCATTCATTCTTCAAATTCAATTTTAATATTGATTAAGTGAAATTAACGTTAACGTAGATACCGTGATAAATACAATTATTTTATCTGAACAATTTATTGTTATTTTTTATTTAAATTCGGATTTGTTGAACAGAGGTCGAATAATTCTGTCTAAAGTGTGAAATGAAATTTTGGATAATTCTAAAACGTTATTTTTATTGTGGTAAACCTTAAATTTAAAAAATAAGAGACTTAATATAAAGAATTATACGAAATTTCTTTGTTAATGTTTCTGCATACGATGCGTATGCATATGTGATGTTATTCCTACCAGTGCGATATATCTCGTGTTATGTGCGCCAGTTTTACTTTACAAAACCAAAAAATTAAAATAACTATTTATTGAAATTTTTTACGAATAAAAACTGGTTTTACGTGACGTATCTATTCAATGAAAAAGTAATTGTGACAAACCATGGTGGCATTTACGTCACATTGCCGTAAACTTAATGGGCAAAACGTAATATGATTTAAAATGATTGAATATATATTCTATTCCTAGAGCCTACGAAAAAACGGACATTGACCCATGTGTTATGTGAGGGTCAAAAGTAAATGATACCAGTCGCTACCATACTCCTTTGTATAATTAACGCAAAGTGCTGTCCTATTATACGGGGTAGGGTCAGCGATCTATAGTTCCCCGTATAACAGAGCGCAGTACTTCGTGTAAATTATATGGACAGCGATATGTATCGTTTAGTTTTCAAGGTAACATAATACTTTGGGACGATTCCCTTTCCGCTGCCCTTGGAATAAAATATAGTACTCATTAAATTCTGATTTTAAAATCACGTGTTTGATTACGTGTTAATCTAACCATTTAAGTATTCAATAAACGACGGTTACAATATGAAACATTTTATTCAGAATAAGGTTAATGCAATATTTATCATGCCAATCTCCAAATAAAATGTATGTTGATTTTGTGTATTATAGGCATTTATATTAAATTAATAGCTTCTTGTACCTACATGTAGAGTGTAGGACGGCAGTGCATTTCTTATGTGGTGTTCTACATATTGTAAAGACGGGATCTCACTTATAGCCCGCCACTGCATTTTTTTATCTTTACGTATATTAACATTGAAGCAAAGGCTTTTGAGAAGTATGTATAGCATTTGGTGGGTGGTTTGTCTTTCATTAACAATCGATCTTTTTACGAAGGATTTATTGAATAACGTGATGATAAGTGAGATTCAGACTTCACTAATGAAAGTAAATATTGTAAAAATCTTAAATTTTGATCTCGGTTTGGTCATGAAAAATACGTATAAAATTAAATTTATAATTTTTATAAAAACACCTTACAGTTTGATGTTAAATAAGTGAAATAATGAAAAGCGACGATAAGTATGCTTTTTCTAATTGTTTTTTTTATTTTATTATTTTTTTGTTATAATCGGGTCTATCAGATCCGTTGTTGAAAATTTATTGTATATCGCCAATGTTATATTCATATAATGCTAGTCGAACCAACGTGAATATAAATATCTAAAATAAAATTTCTGTACCTACTTATAACGAATTATTATTTTTACATCACGAACTCTTAGACTGTATTGGATGCTTTCGGTGCCTTAACGCAAACTATCGTTTTTATATTAAATAAGTAAATTGTATAGAAAGTACTGAATTGCATTCTGTATTTACATAGATTCATAATTACGCCCTCTTTCGTTGCAAATACGATAACTCTGAACTTACGTTTGAATATGTGCAATTACTTGTATAGAAATACAGGAAACAACTATGTTTGACGGTTAACGAATTGGATGCTTTGGTTATAAATTAACATAGCTTTGTGTATTTGACGCCGATTGTGTGAATGTTAAGTTTATTATACTATAAATACTTAATTGTACATTACGTATCATCATCTAATAAGGGCCATTTACACAAGGCTCATAGCGGAGAAGTCCAGTAAACTTAGAAACCGTTTTATTTCATTGGACTGGATTGTCTCGGCTATTGGTCTCGTGTAAACGGTTCATTAGGCTAAAGTGGGACATTTTATTTGTTGTCATGGAATGAGTAAAAATTTAAAGTAGGTAGACATTAAATATTATGGGGCGTTTTGATGTTGGAAATGAAATGAGTCAAATCATGTTCGAAAAAGCCGGCTGTGCTTAGCAAGCTTGTGCTCAAGATAAAAAATATCTTGCAAAAATCGATCTCTATAATAAAATTATAGAAAATAATTTATTTCGAATAAATTAAGCTTACTTTACCCCGTTTTGTTCTAATGACACCTAATAGTTTTATTTATTTCCAATAACAAAATATATTTTTATCTGTACTGATAACTCATTGTCCATATATTATTTCAGTATATTTTAAAATAAATAGCATTGTATAAAACATATTCACATCATACTATTACGAACAAAGTTATTAGTATGTAGTTAAGAGCAAATAAGAGTATACTTATGTATATTTTATTGTAAGTTATTTTTAAATTAAATGTACTATTGGAACATTCCATGAGAATTTTACTTTATGAATGTTAGTGTGATGTATGATTAGATTATAGTTTCCAAGTCATCAAAAATAAACATTCCGTTCATATACTGTCATGATAAATGTCAGACGGTTTACACTTGTTTACTAAATATCAAACAATCATTTAGGTCTAGTTTTGGCAGAAATACCCAGTCATCTAGGATGATCAAATTAAAAATAAATGTTCTTATTAGGCGAGACCCCATTTAAAATAAAGCCCTTTTGCCAACAGAGAATTTCTTAAGTACTTTGACTTTTCCCTACACCTATAATATTTAAATGCTAAATAAAAGGCTAAATGACTTGTGCAAACGCAATAGAAATATTTTTGCGCACGAGTGAAAGATATATAATGCCGTGTCATCGTAAGATATTCTCTATTCCACGATCAGACTATAGTATACTACTTAACAACAACAAGTTTAATATACCTATCAAAGGAAGGTTAGATACACAAACATCTATCATACATTTCTTAGATGACAAATTAAGTTTACACCCAATGAATAAGTAAGGCGCATTATGGAAACCTGGCACTTGGACACGAGAGAATACAGAAAAAAAGAAATCTACATTGACCTGACCGAACCTGAGACTTAGATGGCGGCGTGCCACTCGGCCACGAACGTCATACTTTCAATTTAAAAAATAACAATGATATAAAAATAGGCGGATTGACCCAATTGTATTTTTCTTTTGTTGGTCTATTGGTGGATAAATGATTATAGTATCACTGCTGGCAAATCTTTATGTATCCTTCGTAACGGTCATAACATCCCTATAATGTCAGATCTAGAGTTAGGCGGCACTACTGGACCGCAGAACAGAAGCGTCACCTACGGGAAGTTATAAACGGGGGACATATAGGCTATAATTTACATGGGCGAAGTCGAAAATAATCCTGGATTTTGAATGAATGCAAGATGCGCTACCTATCTTTTGTTTGTCTCGTTGTTATAAAACATGTCTAAATATTTTGGTGATTTTTCGTGAAAAGTATGTAGGTACAAGTTTATATTAGATAAGGGGGCGTCCATAAATTACGTGAGGTGTTTTTTCAAATTTTCTGACCCTCCCTCCCCGCCTGGTGAGATGTCGTGAGATTTTATTCAATCCCCTCCCCCATCCCCAAATCTCACGTGAGATTTTTCAAAAAGTGGGTTTCTTATTTAAACACGTTGGATTTTTTAATAAAAAGAAAAAAAAAATAATTCGCTTCGTACTTTTATTTACGACTAGTTAGAGACTAGTAATCCATATTGCTCTCATTCATCGAGTCACACGTTCAACTGACAGTGGCGCCAAAACAAAGGACGGGCTACATTGTACCGTAAATTCAAATTAACGTAATTTATGGACGCCCCCTAAGCTTTATATTAGATTTCGAAAATATTTTGGATTAATTCGGGCCCATAAGGCTATTAAAAAGGCATTTTGAAAATCTGTCAATATCCTCCTTTTCGATTTTGAATTCTGTTAAAAATGTATGTCATTCTCGGCGGGGGGCCAGCGTTACCCAATGACACGCTGCTTGAATCGTTCCGATTGGCCAGGATCCAAACAGGTACACGATTGGTTTGCTATATAATTTTTGTAATCTTTAAAAACCTTTAAAATCTACTTTATTATCCGGAAAGCTCCTTGCTGAATCCTAGACCGTCCCCCCCTACCGAAAGTGCAGGAGTTTTTATCAGGTAGCCACGTTTTGACCTATATGGTTAGAGAACCCTGATTTAAGGCTTAAGGTGCATTTCTCTTACGTTAAAAAGTTGAAACTAAAATGGGTACTAGCATAAAAAAAGAAAATAAAATTACATGCAAGTTTAGCATAACATTTTATTGAATAAGTGATAATAGAATAAATAATATTCGTATAAATATTAAATAATAAGGAATTCATTTAAAGCTATTATAAAATAACTGTAATTAGTACAATAGATGGTGACTAGGTATGGTTCATTTTTTAGTTTGGTGCTATCAAATAAAATCATCAATGGTGTGAAAATAAATATAAACAAATATCATCGAAAGCGTTTGACAATATAAAAATATCTTAATAGGTACTATTTTTGTTTCTAAAGTACTAAGTAGGTAGTTATGATTATTAGCCCCCCCCCCCTCTCCTTACTTTTATTGGATAATTAATTATATAATTAAATGTACCCAGTTGGTTAATTTACTACTAAGTTGTCAATGTAAACGCAGTTTTTTCATTAGAGCTGGCAAAAATGTTGGTGCTGGAGATCGGTTTTTTTGCCCATCCGAAATATAAGGCCCCGGCTTAGACATCAGAACTGTGTGCAGAGTTGGTAAGCTTCCAATGGAAGTAGTCAGTTCAGGTGAAACATTGCGGCAACCTTGCACATCCAAAAATTTTAGTTTTTTGCAGAATGTCAATATTGCTTCTAATGATTTATCCGTCAATTGATTGCATCCCTGAAACGTAAATAAATACAAGCATGACAATGTATTTTTTGGTATTCTGTTAAGGAATATAAATCTAGCGAAATAAAAAGAAGGGGCCTTTTCTAACCTTGATACGAACAAAGGCTACGTAGAATACTTTCCACTGATACGACCTTGCACATTTACTTGTGCTAAATAAATAAATTGTTTCCAGATTTTTGTGGGCAAGAGGTCATACGAATAAGTGATTTTAACATATTGAAATTGTTCACTTATTTACTGTGAATGCGACTTTAAGGTGTCAGTTGACTTAGCAACGTTCTAACGTTAGAACGATACGCCAATATGTACCAAAAATGTATCAAGAAGCACACCCAAGTGTGCTTATAAATGTTATTTGTTCAAGATGGCAGCACAAGGATATGCATTGATACCATTTTAGTATTTGTATCCAGTTTGCTGTTTAGGGCACTATTGTGCTAACCTAATGGAATTTACTCAATTATTCAAGATCTCATTATGCAAGTCATGTGAAAGGGTAATATTAGCCTTTGTCTGAACTATATTTTTTTATAAGAGATAACTTTTCTTACCCGTAATTCAAGTTGTTGCAATCTTCTTAATCCTCTAACAATTTCTTCAACAGCTTCATCTTTTAAATTGTAACAATCAATTAGGTTAAAGAACTCTATACTGGGGCAATTTAATACTAGATGCCCTATACCTTTATGAGTTATTTGTTGACATCTACTAAGGTTCAGATTAGTAAGTTCCTTGAAATTAAATGCATATGTTAAGCTTACATCTGTGATTCTATTACAACCACTAATATCAAGCTCTCTTAATCCTTTAATGCGTGCTAGAGAGAAGCCAGTGTAAGTATCAGTTGTTAGCTTTTCACACATTAACATAACATCATGTTTTCTTCTTGCATCTCTGACAATTTCCTCTTCTGCTCGAGAGCCCAAGTGTATCTTATGACGATATGCAGATTCATCATAATTTGACATTATGGGCCCATCATCATCAGTCTCCTCTCCCACTTTTCCCATTCCAGTTAAACCAGCATCAGAAACTTTATCACAATGACTCATTTTCAGTATTTCTAGGTTTACTTGATTTTTGAATATAACTTGGACAGATGTATCTGTCACAGCATTAAAGCAGTAGCTTATATCTAAAGACCGTAAATTAGGAAATTTTTCTGAAATTATTATGACAGCAGTTTGATCAATATTAAGAGAGTGTATATCTAATTCTTCTAATACATAATTTTCCTCTGCACATATACCTCTTTCTAATCCATCTTTCGTGATTAGTTCACATTGTGAAATATTCAATGATTTTAATTTTTTCAGTTTTTTTAATTCAACTATACCCAAATCTGTAACTGCTCGACATCTCTGAATGTTAAGGTATTCTAGATTGACTAGATTATTACATATATATACAAGTGATTGATCTGTTACCCTTGTGCATAAGCCAATATCCAATTCTTTTAGCATAGTCTGATTTGTAGTCAACGCTAATATACCAGTGTTAGTTAACTGGTCACAGGAATGTACTTCTAGACCTTCAAGTCTCAAATTTGTAACTTCAGACAGAGACTTCAATGCTGCCCCATCAATGAGGGTGTTAGAAAACAGCAATTTCTTAATGTTTTCTGCTCTTGCAATAACAAATTGCAAAATAAAGTAAAATGTTAATACACTTTCTGATGGATTTTGGAAAATATTAGAACCAGGAGGATAAAACTTTTTTACTAATCCCAGATGAAACTGTAAAGAACATCCTGACAAATTCAATTCTTCTAATGCTGGTGCTGCTGTTGAGAATCTATTGAATAAAGCATCAGTCAAATACTGATTACCGGACAAGCTTAAGGACCTCAAACTATCCAGGCTTTCTACAAGAAGTCCTTCTGTTTTGCCTTCCAATAGACGTCCAGACATAAACAATTCTTTACAGCTTTCAATGTTAAGCGATTGAAGATTTCTGCATCTTTGTAATATATATACAAATACTTTTTCATTAATATCACAGTTTTTAAGGGTCAAACATCTTATGTTTTCTCCTAATTTATCCCAAAGAGCATTTAACTTATTAGATATTTCAACTTCATTGAATAGATAATTATAAAAGGTTACAGATGAATTTTCAAATATATTTGTAGGTGAGGTAGGTTCATCATTTAAAATTGATTTATAAAATATTACAACCTTGTTCTTTAAGAAACAGTAGTCATTAGCAGCCAAGTACCATGATCGACAAGTCTCACTTGCAGACTTTCTATCCGATTTTGGTAAGAATTTGAATAAATAGACCAACACCTGGAAAGTGACAAAAATATCATGTATCTATTATTGGAAAAATTAAGTAATAAGTGCCTGAAAAATCGTCAGTCCTGTTAGGTCCTGGGTAGTTCAGTAGTTCGAGCAGTCGCCCGGATTGCGAAAGGTCGTAGGTTGGAATCCCATCTCAGAGTAATGGGGACAAAATGGATTTTTAAACATTTTTCATTAAGAATGTTAATATTATTATTGACATTTTACCGTTAAACTCATTAATTATTGTAAATATTTCTTATTGATTTTGCAATTAGTTATAGGCCGTCAATTTTCCATGAAAAATTTAAAAAGGTCTGGAAAATTAGACTTATGCTAACTAAAACACCAACAAAGGAAACAATCCTACAACATTATAATCGAAATCACGTGAAAAACTCATGTACGTATCAGACAAAGAAAAACGAAGATGTAGTAAGTACATACAAAAATTATAAAAGTTTTTAGATAGAAGTTTAGTTACCTCAAATGGTAGATCCATTTCTTCCTAGTTATTATGAAATGAAAATTTCATTGAAAACTCTTATACACCTACATTTCTAATTAATAAAAAGAACGAGCTAATTTCATGGAAAAAAGCAAACTGACTTTACCAACTTCCTCATTTCACTCGTCATAATTTTTCACAAAGAATGAATGTCAATTGTCAACCCTACCCTATGTCAGACAACACCATGTCAACACTCTGTCATTGTCAATGTCAGTTGTCAAATAATAATTGCTCTTTAGTATCATTAATAGCAAAGGGTTCCTAGATATATACAGTCTAGTCTTTTGTATTATAAAATCAGTTGAAGGCTACACAAAGTACTTTTGTTGCGTTGTGCTGCCGAGGCACCGCAACATCAGTGGTGTTTGTAGGATCAGTGTATGAAGCTGGGCGGGGCGCAGTTTGGACACTCCAATGCTTGAAGGGCGCTATTGCTGCAACTGTACAGCACCGGACGGCTACGCAAAACATCGTATGACTAAACACAGTAACTTATTTTTTTACTGATACTTTTTTGTTTATGACATATGTACCGAATTATTTTTCTTTGACAGTGATTTTAATGTTTATTCTATTGATAATAAGTCAAAATTGATTTTTGTTCGCAGATAAGTCAGAATGACCCCTGGTGGTCATATGTTCGATCAGAGAGGCAAGCTTCTGCCCGAGCGCGTCGAGTTGCAGCTCGTATAAGAAGAGACCACCCTCCGACACATATGAGTCGAATGCCCTTAGCATGCCGACGTCGAGTTGACGAAAGGGATATCGACTCGAAAAGGAAGGAGGATAAAAGATAGGACAGATTATAAAATATTTACTAAATAAGTAATAGATATGTGATATGATTGATATATAAAATAAATATAATAATAAAGGTGGATATATCATATTGGCTTGAATCTATAATAAGAAACTATTCGGAGCCGTAATCGTCTTTGCTCTGAATGCGATCAATCATAGATCTCACAAAAGGTGAGTGGCGGATATCCAGTTTATTATCTGATTTAAGCGTTTTATTGTGGTTCTTGCAATTAATGTAAGACGGGGGTGTTGAGGTAGAAGGGCACTCTTTGCGGGCATGATCAGTAAGATGAGTGGTGCCGAACATTATCGCTGCGTGTGGCCAAATTAGGCGCACTTCCGGCAGTGCTTAAATGGAGAGAACTCCTCAAAATGGACATGCTGGAAGCCCACTTTGAGTCTAGGATTAGTCATCTGTGATAGCTATTTCCAGGTGGTAGGCGAAAAAATTATCATCGCATTATATAAATTTTGGAACCGGTTCTGTGCAAAGAAGAACCGTAAAAACTTGTGACGTTTATGGACTAGTGCAGTTTCTGTGAGAGTAGCACAAAGGAGAATGGGCAATTTACTATGAGAGTTCGGTTGTTTTTGCATAATTGTGCACATTGTTGAAACCAACGGTAAACGATAGAGAATCATTTCTAGAATGACTAGGTTTTTTTTTAAAATTATGCTGGAGTTTTAGAATATCTGAATATTTAACAGGGATTTTGAGGTTATGTCGTTATAATGTCTACGTATACTTATAAGAGTAATAATATGAATAATGTATTTCAAACAATCGATGACTAACGGATATTTAATTGCGAAAAAGTACATATATATACCTATATTATAAAAAGGAAAGATTGGATTTTTTATTGTAAAGGATAAACTCAAAAGCGCCTGGGCCGATTAAATAAATAGTCTTAGACTAATATAAATACCTGACTAACATTATCAGAGTTAAAATACTTTATTTTGTAAAAGTAGTGGTAGTTAGGAAGTTCGCATGTCAAGTCGATTAATAACTTGAAACTTAGTAGGTAGTCGTAGTTATATTGTAGTAGGTAGGTTTATGCTCACCGCTAAAGAAAATATCATAACGAATGTCACTAGCAATCTTAAGATATTTAGGTATTTATCTAATGGAATCTCGTTATATTTATGTATAACACCGCTTAAACACGCATGTTTCTTCCTCCGTGAAAACTCACGGTTAATTCGCAATTATCAATACCCAAATTGCAGTACCCAATCAAGAGTAACTACGAAACGGCACAATTACAATATCGATTGGTCGCGATTGCGTTCGAGAGTAAGGGAAGTTAGTATATAAAATAAAAATTAAACAAACGTATTTATGTATTTGTTTATTGATCATCATTATACAATAACGGAGCATATTTAAATACCATATTTTATAACCATAGCATACTTTAATCTTATCCTATAATATTATACCTATACGAATAAATGAAGCCTATTCTTTGGGATTAGTGACGAACGTTAATTTGGCCGATCGTTGGTTCAGTCTGTACGCGTCATATTAAGATGCGCCACCCGGCCGATTGCATTAATTTGCCTCCTATCATTTGTTATGAAATAGCGTACATACCTATGTTCATGTTCAAAAGAAAATCAAAAGAAGTCTTATCTTAGATAGTAATTATTTAATAGATTTTTTCGATACGTAGATTAATGCCTTAGTTTTCTATAATCGATCTGATCGCCTTTTCGAGTCAATTGTTGCATGGTTGACATTTATGTAAGGCCATATCATGAGTCTAAATTAGTCAGTTTAGCAATTGTTTTAATACGGTTAATTTTAAACGCCACATAATTTTAAAATAGTATTTACGAGTATATAGAATATATTATAATTAAAGAGAAAAATTTGGATAAATAAAAGCATAGTGCGCAATTTTAACCGACTTCTGCCCATTCTCCTTTGGTTTAATCGCTTTCAGTTTAATCGTTTTCAAGGAAGCATGTCACTCTGGTTAAAAGTTACGGATTCCTGTTACGAATAAAATGGATGGTATTTTTGAAAAAGTGGAGCAAGATCGTTATATCAGTAGTAACGTAGTTGAAGATCTTTAAATAGACAACAGAATAGTTTTGGCGCATTTGCAAAACGCTGGGTAGACAAAAAGTTGGATATTTGGGTATATTACGAGCTTACTGAAACAAACCATATGAACCGTGTACTCATTTGTTATTCTTTAATACAGCGTAATGAAACCGAACTATTTTTGAAGAAGCTGATAACTGGTGATGATAAGTGGATATTAGATGGCACACTTCATCTAATTGCATCGATAGTTGCGCTCAGAGTGTCGAAGAATAAAATGGTTTTAACAAATAATAAATATATTTTGGTTGTAAAATATATATATTAATTAAAAACAGAACAAGCAAAAACAGTAGTTGACAGTATCAAAAAAAAAACAAAATTATTGTCAAGAAAAAGGTTGTCTTCAAAACCTCTTTTCTCTAACAGTGGATCACTTTGACCACGTTGTCAAAGGTGGGTTAGGCTTAACAGATTGTGGCGAAACCCGGCTTATCTCGCAACGAGGTTATGCTGTGTGAATTGGAAGGGCGTACTACTGCGAATAATTGATGAGATTAAAGCAAGAAGTTGAGAAAAAGAAACCAGTATTAATGTGGTTTTTCATCATGATAACACTAGAACCTCGCACATCTTTTGTCGCTCAGTAAAAATGAAGAGGGTGTTAATGCATCCGCCTCATAGTCCTAACCTTACACCTTCAGATTTCCACCTGTTTCGGTTTCTTCAGAATTCTTTAGGCAGTGTCAGGTTAACATTACGCGAGAACTGCCAAAACCACTTGTCGCGATTTCTTGATCAGAAGTCTATCTGGGCATGGGATCATGTCCCTATTTATTTAAATGTAAATAAACTTTATTAAAAAATGTTTCGAGTTTACATATAAAATGCGAAAAAACATTTACCCCAACCTATTATATAATAGATTTGTCACAAGAAATTTAACTTTTTGTTTAATGCTCATTCATAAAAAGAGAAAAGAAAGAACATTGATCCTCGGCGGTTTAAAAAAGTTTATGAATTATAATGAATAAGTTAATATAATAAACATATCAATCAGTTATTTTTAGTAAACTTCTTTCTTATAAATCAATCAATGGCAAACAAGGTACGACAATCACCACGATATAAAATAAACTGTTTAAGATTTCTGTGTGAAAATTCTTTTCGATGGTTCCTGTTCCTACCTTATTAAAAACGCTGCATAATTTTCCTTGATCAGTTAAAATCAAATAGAAAAAGTACAAATTCTATTTTTCAAACATTTCAAATTATTCTAATCCAGAAAAAGTTAATGTACCTATATAATATTCTATTGTTTTTTTTACGTATATAACTACGTGACATAGAATAATACATAATTATATATAGGTGGTGGCTTCAATCCGCATTGGGCCAGCGTGGAGGGTCATGGCCCATCCTCCTTAACCATCCATAAGGAAGGCCTGAGCCCCTGCAGTGGGGACGTAAAAGGGCTGGTGATGTGTGATATAGGTGCACATATAAAAATTATATACACATAGACACATACATGAAATTACAAATACAATACAATACAAAGCAGATACGACGGGACTGATTTACAAGTTTCACAATCACGAACGTGAGCAATATTGATTTTATTTTAGTTAGTATCCACCAAGTTTTATTAATGTTAATTATTTACGATAAAAAGAAAAGTTTAAGAAGAAGTATGGGAAAGTGCAAGCTTTTATCGGCATGCTTACGAGTTTGCGCGGCAGAAACAATATTGTTATGCCACTTGTTGGGCGCCAGTAAGCTCGCCGAGCGCGGGGTGGTCGCTTCTGCCGAATGTGTATCGCGCACTTCCGCCCTTAATTTCCGATAAACTTTACCGCGAAAATGTGCATTGTCTCATTCCAACCGGACGGCTGATTGTGCGGACATTTTTGTTCTCTGACTTAGGATGTCTCGGAGGAAGCAAGCGAAACCGAGATCTTTGAAACGTAAGTAAAAATTAGTTTCTTTATTTATATTTATAATACCGACAAAACTATACTTAGCTAATTAAAAGTTTTGTTGTACTTTGTATCTAACCTTTATGTTTATTGATATGTCTGTATCATATAGGAAACTATATGATAATTATTAATTATGATACGAAAAAAACAACCAAAACATTTTCATGTAAAATGTTACCGAATGTTATGATGTCGCCATATGGTTGCGCTGTCAAAAAGTTTTTAGATCTTAAATAGAGCCAAGCTTCTAACTCTACATGTCCTAACTCTGTAAGCATTCACTTTATAACCTCTACAGCTAATTCAAAACATGTGCTTACTCCTAT